ATATATCAGTATCTCGTATCAACTACGTATCGTATCCCGAATAAAACTTGTTTGATATATTCAGTTGCGGATGATGTGTCATGAATATTTCCTATCCCACATCGGTACGGTGCAAGAAATATAAAGGGTGAAAAAGAGTCAATCAAGTAACCAAGTTTTTCTCATTTGCATACGCGTTCAATGTACGAATGTATCGTCGCTATATAACAATTATTAATCGCTATAATAAATTACTAATAAATCAAATATCCATCCGTCATTCGAAGACTCTTGTCGAACTCGTGTCGAGTCAAAAATTGGTCGAAAATTGTATACGGCAAGAAGAAATTTTTTCTGTTGGAAAATTTGCATTCACTCAAGAAAAAGTACGAATACAAATTTGTCAACGAATCGAATCAATCGAAGTGAGAAATATATTTTACATTGGAAACATTGATCTATTGATTCAGGTAGTGTACACGCTGAGCCGAACGAGACTGAGCAACGAGACGTTGAACGAGAGCCAGGACGCGATGGGTGAAAACGAAAGCGCAAGGACGATCACCTGATCGGTCATAGGCAGAGGCGCCGGTGGTTACGTCAACCTCCTCTCGCATTCTCCAGTGAACACCCCGTGTCCCGGTTACAGGTACCGTGAGTCCCGCGAACCCCTATTGGAGGAGGCCGCGCCGCTGATCGCGACCACGCCACCAGCCGCGACCTGTGACGTGGAGGGAAGGACGGCCGACGTCCTCTGCCCTGTACAGATACACGTGCACGACCCCTCGGTGCGCGAGAGACGAAGACAGATGGACGAGGAGGAGGAGACGGAGAAATGGGGCGAGAATCATCATCATCATCATCATCATCATCATCATTACGGGTCGAGGAATTGGATCGATCTGGACGAGAACGTGTTGGACGGTTACATACTGATAGACGACTCGTGCCTCGAGTCTGGCGTTGTACCGGACGAAACGAAAGAGCTTGCCTATCCGGAGGGTGGCGTGGAGGTAGACGAAGAGGACGCGGACAGCCACGGTAAAGACGATTGTTCGATTTACAGCATTGCCAAGAGAGGGATCTCGAGGAGAGGAGCTCGAGAGGAGTTCGATCTAAGCTCGACCTATCCGCTCGCCAACAGTCACGGTAACGCTTACAAAGAGTCGAGCAGTCATACCAGGTACACCGAGTTGTATTCGGAGTTGGCGGTTAAGAATTACTTGGAGGGAAGTAATCGAGAAGAGATGGGCAATTATTCCGTGGCGAACAGCCACGGCGATCATAGCGTTTCGTCGGAGAATAGGGAACGAAGTTTGAGGGAGAAGGCGGAGACCGATCAATCGATGGTTTGGGACACCAGACAGCATGCCAATTACGAGGTGGCAAACAGTCATAGCAATTACAGAGTGTTCTACGACAGTCAGACGCAGCAGAGAGAATTGTTGAGGACGACCGGCTGGTCGATAGAGTCTTGGAGGGAGCATTTGATGGCCAATAATTACGTGATGGAAGATCGGAAGCAGAAATCGGAGAACACCGGCCAGCTCGTCCGTGACGACGAATCAACGAAAACTAGTCGCTCGGAGGCGAAAAGCGATCCTGGCTCCGAACCAGCATGCGACATCGAGCAATGCCTCGTCCAGATCGAGGAAAGTCTGTTGAACATTGAGCAGAATTTGCTTCACGTGCAAGACCTCGACATACCGGAGTTGAGGAATCTTTTGTACAAAAGTCCAAGCATCGAGAAAAGTCTTTACGAGGTTCAAGACCTCCTGTACGCCGACGGTATCGTCCCTGTGATTAACAAGAGAAAATCCTCGACTCTTATATCCGAGGACGAAGAGGAAGAGGATGAAGAGGAAGAGGAGGAAGAGGAGGAGGAGGAGGAAGAGGAGGAAGAGGAGGAGGAGGAGGAGGAGGAGGAGGAGGAGGAGGAAGTTTGGGTAGGTCGTAACATAACCGTAAAGGATAACGACAACGAAGACGACGACGCTGCTGCTGCCACCTTCGATGCCTCGAACGAAGAATCGTCCGACACGGCTAACAACATGGACGAGAACAATCGATCGGGATCGGTGGACAATTGTTCGACCACCGAGTGTATAAACGGGTCGACGACCATCTTCCACGAGGACGAACCCGTCGATCCGAATTGCAACGAAAAAACCATGAACTTTATCCCGAACAGTTTGAACAAAACTTTGCCGAGAAGAATCATTCTCGACGGGGCCCTCAAGGAGAATATCAGACTTTGCTCCTCGGAACCCGAAGAGTCGACCACCACGGTCGATTACAATTTGAACACCACCTGCGCCGAGAAGAAGTTGTTCTGTCGCGACAAGTGTCACAGTAGGACCAACTCTTTGGACGAAAATTCCACCTTCTCGAATTTCGACCCGTTCGATAAACGAGAGACCGGAAACAGCTCGTTGCAAAACTTGTTGCTCGAATCGACGAACGGGAATTTCTTCGATCTCTCCGGGAAGGCGAGGTCGGAGGAAATGCTACAGACACCGCGGAGCAGATCTTTCAACGCGAGTAGAAAAAAATCGAACGAGAAAAATCGGACGGTGGACGCGAGAAGGGCGGAGGAGGATTTTCGTAGAAGGCTCGAGCCCGTCGTTTCCTCGAGTCGTCGTTTCGCGTCGAACGAGCAGAGGAGGGGGAAAATTTCGAAGGAGACGGCCGTGAACGCGCCACGCCCGCGTGAAAAATCGCCGAGCAGGACGAGGCGCGGCACCATCTCCGCGGACAAGGTGCAGGAGAAGGACAAGGAGGGTGGGAACAAAGGAGGTACGGACAACAAGAGGAAACGGAAGAAGATATCGAGCAGAAGTCAAAGTTCCTCGGAGAACGCGTTAGTGCCTAGCAAATTGATCTCTCTTTCGCTGTCCCTTCTTCTCGCGGCTTTATTGCAAGCGGTCAGGTGTCTCACGGACCTCGTCGAGGACGCGTTCAGATCTGTCAACTGCGACAGAAGCGGCCTGTTGCAATAACGCTGTATCCGCGAACGGTTCTCGTCTGGCACGAGACGATCCATTCGTTCAGAACGTGGCAACATCCAACGAGATTATCGCGTATAGATGGCACTAACCACACATACACACATACACACATTATTATTATTATTATCATTTTTCATCGCTACACTCCCACTTCGTTTTCAAATATACCTACTGTCTCCCGTCCAAGATCGGATTTCTGTCGAGGTGACCGTAATTTCAATCAATTTTTCGGTGTTTAACCATATTTTTGATCGGATGAGAAATTTCTGATCCGATTCTTTCAACTTTTCTTTCTTCTTCATGTGATTAGCGTGCATCTGAGACTATATGAGATTAGAGATTTGGCATTAGCAGCGTCGTTTTCAAGTTTCAAGTTTAAAAATTGTAGATGAATAATCCAAGTTCTTCGTTCTTCTTTTTTTTTTTTTCGTGGGTAAAATTGATTTGTAATACGGCTTTACGGATTTTTTTTCTTTTCTTTTCTCCCCGAGTAAGTAAAAAAATATGTGCATTAATTGTATACGAGTGAACGAGAGAAAAACGTATACTTTGAAAATTCGGTAATATCATTCATTGATAAATATCATTACGCGAGAAGGCTTTCATCTCGGATTTACGTGATACGGAAATTAATCAGAGTCGAGGAACGTAAAGTAGACGACGTCGTTCTAAATTATCGGTCAACGCGATTCCATTAGCAACGAGATGCACGACGGTGAATAATCGGTGAAAAGAAATAAAACCGGGGTAAATGCGCGTGATACTTTCACAAACAATTACCATAAACGGGAGTAACGAGTTTTTTAATCTTACCGAACACACAAAAAAAACCAATTACCGCACGGCTCCGTTCTTTTTTTTTTTTTTTTTTTTTAACCGAGGTCACCTTTTCAGAAGGCGCCTAGCGAAAACTGGTCTCGCGAAACAAGGGGGAGAAACAAGTTGATCCCAATCCAAAAGACTTCCGACCACGAGCAACTCTTATGATTTGCAACCGTAAACGTCCACAAGCCGCAGCTGTTGTCTGTGATAAACGCTATTGCTTACGATCCACGATTACGTTTTCACGTTACACGATACGCTTACAATACCAAGGCAACAAGTTTAATCGTAGGGGAGGAGTGTACACTCGTTACTATACACTACGCTCGTTTAAGGAGATCGTTTAACAGGGATCCGTAACGGTGCAATTTTTCCTTGTAGTTTTATTCTTTTCTTTTTTTTTTTTTTTCTTATTCTTTAATTCATCGCCAAGAATTCATTCATACATATATATATATATATAAGAAAAGATGCGTGCAACGACGTCGAGACGCGAATAGTTCGCGTGAAACGAAAGCGTGAGTGGCATGACGAAGTCAGAGAGAGAGAAACATTTTTCACGAGCTTCCAAGGAAGATGTTTTACGAATCGCTAGACGGGTATGTGCCAGAAACGACGATGATGTAGCGCGCGAAGAAACGATAGTGCACGATAATAATAAAGAAGAATAATAAAGAAGAAGAGTTTCGCAGATAAGTCTTATCGAGCAAGTCTTATGGAGCAAAGTCTTACGGGCTAAGCATGTTACTAAGTATTTAGCACCGCGTACGTAACGTTCTAAAGTGCCTAAAAAAAAAAAAAAGAAAAAAAGAAAAAAAAGGAAAAAAAACTCGTCGCGTATCGCGAGTTGCAGTTACATATTTGTCTAATTGATTAAAACTTTCGATCTAACGCTACTTATATCTTACTACTACTATCCCTATCGTAAGCCTGTTTTTTTGAAGGTGTAACACGTTGCTGGGAGGAAGGAGCCGGGAAAAAAGGAAACGAAGATAAAAAAATAAAGAAAATAAAAAATAAAAAAAAAAAGAAAAGAAAGAGAAAAGAGAAGATAATAAAGGAAAGCGAAGCAAAAAAAAAAAAAATTGGCGAGAAACGCGTTTAGAAACGCGTTTGGATGCGCTTCTCTGTGTGTGAATCACTTCATCCCCCCACCTCCCTTTCCCTTTCCTCGAGTTCTTATCCCTTCCTTCCACATGGGGAGAGGCGTTAAAGGTCGAAGTTTAGACCCAGGCAAAATTAATTTCTCTACAGCGGGGAGTTTAATTAATAAGAAACTTTTTCAGGGAATTCGCGAATCAACTTTCGAATAAAGTTAAACCTTGTTCGGTGTATATTTGAAAGGGGTTCTACTTTCGAGAATACCAAAAACCGTTTCGTTTGTGCGAAGGAATTGTCCTTCTGAGGAAAGTGACGTGAGAAGAATTATCGATAAGTTATTAAATAAATAATAAATATTTTAAATATTTTAATTTCTATTGGATTATGTAATATCGAATTTTTTTAAATATCGATATCAAGGTTAAAACGGAACGACCATTCGACGATATGTATACATATTTTAGTGGATCAATCCCTTTCGTTTCCCACGATCGTTTATTCTTCCAATTAAAAATTTTTCCTACCTCGTATAAGTAGTTATCACGATAATTTCCATTGTTTTAATCTCACCTCTCAAAGCGGCGGCGGTATTATTTATAAGATCGACCTAATATAATACCTTAAGCAGTTGAATCAAATTTTATATATATATAAATATATCTCATTAATCAAACTTTATAGAATACATATGAAATTATCGGAAAATTTGATCAATTTTTCTATTCAACAACATCTATTACTGGAAAATTTAGAAGGACCCAACGAAACATTTCGTCCCAAAATTCGTCCTGACCTCCGAGAGTGAGGAGATCGCTCACTCCCGCGTCTTTCCTCCGCCCAGAGAGCCAACCCCCGGGGATTCGTCGCCGCGAGATATGATGCCGAGAGCTCGCGTGGCTGCACAGCCTCTCTGCCAATTCGCATCCACGACACAAGGGACGGGACAAGAGCGCGTATCGATCGCGAGAAACCGCTCATCTCGTTCGACAACGAGGCTGTGGCAATCGAACTCTGCACACCCACTCTAAACGCGTTCCCCGCATAGCGCAAGTTCCCACTATTCGACGACCATCCACGATCTCCCTCTCCCACGAGCCTTGTCCTTGAGATCGTTAATTTCAATCAACCAACCGATTACTCGCCGTGGAACCAACGATGTCCTAAATATATAACGAGGGAACCGATCGATCCGACGCCTTCTTCTTTTTAATCGATTCGCGACTTGATCGCGAAATCCCAAGAGGTGGACAACAGACGCTGGAAATATTTTCGGAAAAACAGTTGGATAGTAATCCGATCACGTTTGGATTCGAAGACGGGACTTGATATTCAACCGCTCTCGCGCTAGAATTTTCAATTAAGATCCGTAACACGACGGTGCACTCTTACGGAATACGTTAAAAACTGGACCAGAGACGGAGGAAGAACGAGAAAGCAGCTTCCTCCACACACATACATACACGGTTTTAGATCACGTTTGAGTTTCGTTTCTCTCGGTCGATCCCTCTTGGATATGGAACCGTCGTTCGTAAATCGATGATAGGCACGGTTTTACCCGGATATTTGCCAGTGGTCGGTGGAACAAGGACAAATAATATTCTTAGGACTCGCCTCCCCATGGAGTATCAATCGTTTAGGAGGACGTTGGTACACGCTGGGACGATACGTTTTCGCGGACTCGTGATAGCGATCGTGAATGGGAGCATTTATGGGGAAGCTCTCGGATGTTGGCTCTGTTGTATAATGATGAAATGTATAGTTTCGATGTACACGATAAAATCGAAGCTCCCGTTTGGAAAAATAAATCACGAGCGAAAATTGGGTGGAAGGAGCGAGAGTACATACGTCCGAAAATGCCTAACTTCCGGGATTCCGTTCGCGGATTCGAGAAGGCTTCTCGAGGTATTTTGGAAATTGTGATAGAAAGGAGAAAATGATAGGGATGAGTGTCGTGAAAATGGAAAATGGGAGTGAAACTCGGATGGATCGTTCGATTATTCGAGATATTCTGAAACTGTTGAATGTTTTGGGAATAGATATGTACGACGAATATCGATGATTAGAGATAAGGAGATGATATCGTTCGATTATTTAAGATAGTTTAAAGTTGACTGTTGAACGTTTCGAAAATTGTGAAAGATAATGTCGCGTGAATGTACGATTGTGTATACGTTAACGGAGTCGTAGTTTATCGTTTTGTATAGCTGTTGCGAGATATGCTTTTTAAATTGCCTTCATGACGATCATTATCATCTCGCTTGGAACTTGATTGCGCCGATTTAACTTGGCTGACTTGGTGACAGAGAGAATGAAAGTTTGTACGTACGTTTTGTCCATGCGAAAGACGTTGCACGATCGTTTATGCAAACAGCATTCCAGAGTTTGCAACTAGTTGCAGACTGGTTGTAAATACTGGTTATATAACGGTTTTGATATTTTCTCTCTCTCTCTCTCTCTCTCTTCTTTTTCTTTTAGTTGGAAATTTTTTAACAAGAGTTGTAATTTCTACGCCAATAACTGATTAAATAATTCACAAGATGAAGTTTAAACGAGCTTATCGCAAAGTCGTTAGAATAACATGTTACAATAATCTCGTAAGTGTATCTTGTTGGCAACTGGAAATTTATTTAGCGACGTGAAACGTATGTTAAGAATTATTCTATAAAGTGTTTAGAAAAAATTATATTTCCAACCAATTGATTTTCAATTCAAATTATATTTCTACGTTGGAAAAATATAATTTTTATTCAAACATTATTACCCAACAAGTCTTTTTACCCCAACTATATACACGTTCGATTTTAAGATTTAAACTCGACCCGAGAATTCGCCACCTCAAAGCATGTTTCATTCAATTATAATCTTTACCTTCGCGAGATTAGTTAACGCGAAGATTTCGTTATGCAATGCAAAATATATTCCATTCCACTCGTGATTTCAACTCGAACAACACTCCATTTTGCATTCTATAAATTGAAAAGCTAATTAAAATAGGATCGTAAATAGGGGAATCATATATTTAATATGTTTGATACCGAATTAAAAGGTGCATGTGAATTGTTATAACAGAATCTTTTTTTGGTGAGGAAATAGATTCACGATTTATAATAGAAAATGCAATTACAATACTCAGAATTGTAATATAATATAATGAATTTAAAATACGCAGAATTATAAAAACTGAGCTGAAGATATGATTGACGGAAAGCATATATTATGTAGCAAGATAGTAAGTGAGATATCGATATCTTTACATCCACAATTTAAAAATATTCTTCCTTCTAGGAACGGAAATGTTCTACTTTTTCCTGTTTCTGGGCTGATTTACGCGTTGATACTCTCTCAAGCTTGAAAATGTATCCCGGATGCGTAGTTTCAGGAATGTAAATATTCGAAAAAAGGGAGTTTACTTTCTAAAATAAATTGCCTTTTAGCGTTGCATGAAATTTAAATAATCAGTAATTTTAGAAAGAAGTAACCATCACGTTTAATATTCACCAATGCGTCAAAAAGAAAGTTCATTGAATCGAGTATCCTAATTATCGAAATAGAATTTTCTTAATAATTCAAAATACGCGTAAACCTTTGACTACGTATCTCGGTAAAAGGATAGCAGTCTTCAAATTTCATCGTTTTTTAATTAAAAAAATTTTGTTCTACGTGAAATTAAAAATTAATCGTAGCTAGATAATCTTAACTTTAAATATTTCCTAGATCATTGGATAATAAAAATGACAAGAGATACTTCGAATATATGATTCTTTCGCAGACAAGAGAATCCAATTAACAGATTTATCTTCGATTGGCAACAATTCGTCAAAAAAATTTAATAGATTTCGATTAATAAAATGATGATTCTCATTCGTGATTAAATACACTTGATTTCACCTAGTCTTATATATAACACATTTAGAAATTTAGAAGAGTAATTCGAAGAAATTCTTTAACGATAGTGGTTGCAAAATTACAACGACGTGCGAACAACTCGTAACGCGAACAATACGCACAAACTCGATAACAAACTAGTGTGTACTTATATATTCACAAGCGGAATAGTGTTTCTACGTTTCGCAAGAATAGTTTTCAAAGTCCAATGGGACACATATCTGTGTAAAACGCGAAAATACATTTTCTCTCGATTCGAGATTCGTAGAGGAACAATATTAAGATACGAATCTTTTTCCCCTCTTTTGAAAATGTTATTTTCAAAAGATAGTTTCCTTCGGAATTATCAAAAAACGAATAAGTGGTCGAGTAAAATAGGCTTGATGAGTTTAGAGGAAAGCAAAAAATTCGAAAAATTTAAATAGTAGAATAATCAATTCAATAAAATATATGACATTGTACTGGAAGATTGTGAAACGAACAAGCGAATAAAATATCAAGATCTGAAATTGATGCATGTATAGCGTGTATCGGTTTTTCACCGAGCTCTTTTAACTGTTTTTTTTTTTTGCAATATTCATATTCAGGGAAAACGTCTCTGTTACATTTACTTTTTGCATTATTGAAGGTGGAAAGCGATGAATGATTCTTTTAGAAAAATAAGAAGAGGAAAAAATGAAAAAATAAAAAAGAGAACACCACGTGTATCAGGCTTTTCAAAGTCGATCGGCAAGGGAAATTGAAGTGAGGAAAGAAAAAAAAATGTATGAATGAGACACTTTGATGTTTCGCATGGTTGCTGTTTAACGTAGTAATTGAGATAGTGCTTTCTTTTTTTTTTTTTTATGTTTTTTTAAAGAGTCTCACTAGACGTGCAAATATTTGCTCGTTTAGCAGGAAACATCTTTGGCAACAAATTCAGATGCTAGAATTAGTTGTTGAAAATTGGCGAGAGAGCAATTTTCGAAACGTCGCTCCGACGACGTTCCATTATCTATC